ATCGAGATGGAGGTCAACAAGGCATGGGCTCGTGCTTCCCGCAATCGCAACTGGGAGTCCTGCACACCAGCTATTATACCCGGTATGCCTTGTTCTGAGTTTGAAATTCCAGGGATGAGGGGTATCCGTTGAGTGTGTACAGAGTGGAAGATGAGTTCCGGAATCACCGAATGCAACTCTCAGCCAGTTGCTTGTCGTTCCAGCTTTCTCAGGATGTTCAACAGCCGTTTGTAAAATTCTGGGAGGTGAATCAGGAGCTTGGCGAGATCGGCGGCGTCTTTGTGTCCAAGCAGCCTTCCGACACCGACATGGGCGCTAAAGCCCCCAGGCCATGGTGAAGTGTCAGTTTCATGGAGCATTCTGGATTGGGTTATCGCCTGACAGGAAGTTATTCGTTTTCCGCAAATTCCAAACTTGTGCGGGTTCGTCGTTACTTTCGGCAAGGGTTGCAGCTTCCGTTCCAAGACTTGGAGAGAAGCAGAGTCGGAGCGACGTTGTAATCCACAGCAGCTGATGTGTATACCCATGCACAGCGTGGCCAAGAATGGCAGGTTGGGCTCTCTGCCGTTTGTCAATAGGGGGGTTGGCAGGACTGTGCTGCTGAAGGGCATCTTCTACGGCAAGGTCGTCAATGCTTAATTTGCTGCCAGCTCCCTTGCACCGAGGGCCGTGGGTGAGGACAGCAACGCTGCGATAAACTAGGCTAGAGCCTGAAGCTGACGATGTTTGTTTACCATGAGCCGTGCATAGTAAGATGTTCTTACAGGGATGTCGGCACCCTGGGTTTCTTGTCCGCTGCCATGGATCTCCAACGCGGTGTTCAGGCAGGAGATCCGTTTTTTCAAAACAGACGCGAGGTGTCGTCGAATAGTTTTGGATGGACAGTCTTGTGATTGTCATCGTAGGAAATGCTGGGTGCGTTCGCCGTAAGCTGAACCTCAAAAGGGGCTGTGAGCAGCGTTTGCAATCCAGGCCCCCAGCAGGAAGTTTGAAGGTCAGGTTTTATGTGGTTTCAACATGAAGATCATGTCTTCTTCTCAACTGCCCCTTTATGCTGTAGGCTTGCTGAACCAATATGCCTGTAAGGTCTGTCATATTTACTTCCTGCCGAAAAACTGATCGGATAAGAATGTGCTCTTCCCCAATTAAATTATACTGCTTGGTTTGCACTATCTTCAACAGGTTATTTATGCTGAAGATACAATTGCATAGCTGAGCAACTGACTATGCACCCACATATATGCACATAAAATTTGAATACGGATATACATAGATATACACGGGCATATATTTGTAGGGTCATCCCTCCCTGACAGACCACCCCTTTGCCCCCCTCCCACCGCCGATTCGATTCCGGCCTTTGTCGTGGGGTTCGGGATTCAAGTCCTTTTTTTGGCTGGTTTCGTCCAGGTAACCCAAAATACATTATTCTAGATTCGTGGGCTTGAAATTTCTAGCTTGAGACTACAAAATACAGATTCAGATATATTATCGGAAATTATTTTCTTTATTGAATATAAGAATAGTAGTTATTTTTCGGTAGCATTAATTATTCCATTCTGTATGCAAAAATTTGGGGTTATATATATATATTGGAAATTTAATCATCATGTATTCAAAATAGTTTATTTCTTTTCTAAATTCTATTTTCAGTCTAACTTTGGTTTATCATTCTATAATAAAACTGTGTCGTGCTGCCTGCGACCGTGATTCCGTGCGCAGCTCAGCCCCCGATAACCTCGTCCTTTGACGCGTTTCCTTCTGAAAACCTCTCTCTGTCTGTCTGTCTGTCCTGTCTGTCCTGTCTGTCCTGTCTGTCCTGTCTGTCCTGTCTGTCCTGTCTGTCCTGTCTGTCTTGTCTGTCTGTCTTGTCTGTCTGTCTTGTCTGTCTTGTNNCTCTCTCTCTCTCTCTCGCTCGCCCATTCAGACTCATGCCCAATATCACAGGACATCTGTGCGTACATTTGTTTACAGGTATGCGCAACTGCACATGCATACAGACACACTTATATACAGACGACGAGACAGATAGACAAACGAGCAGGCGCATACGAAGAGAGAACCAGAGAGAAAAGAGAGGGAGAGGGAGACAAACACATGACATATAGACAGACAACAGAGAAGCACACAAACACACAGACATACAGCAAACCGAGCACGTTAGAATTCTGCCCAATTGTAAATTACATTGGCGATAATTTTTTTAACAAAAACCAATTTCTTCCATACAGTCAACCGGCACATGCCAGTACCCTGAAATACATACGTACATTTATCTATCTATCTATCTATCNNTATATACATACATACACATGCATGTATATGTTTACATATACACGTGTGCAGAGATGTGTTGTATGTGTATATATATATATACACGCATTGATGCACATCTCTGCGAATATGCAGCATATGAACAGCTACGGCAGGTGCGCTTCTTGCCACGAACAGATGGTCATAGACAAGATCAGACAGACAAACAGACAAGCAAAATGCCAGCTAGCTAGGTGCAAAGCCAGCATGAGTGAAACATGGAGGCTTGCCTAGACTCTACGTAGGTGCGTCGGAGCTGTTCTGTGCCAGGTCCACGGTTTAGAGTTTCGGGGTTTAGGGTTGAATGATCTATCTCCGCTTATCACCCGAGCCAGAAGCCAGAAGGCTCTAAACCCTCAACCCATGGCGACCGCGGCACTATTGCAGCCCAACATCGGTCTCGATTCCGCCAGCACTGTCGCAAACTTGGCAGAAGCAGTGCTAGAGTCTAGGACGTTTTGGCCTAAGGCCAAATATTCGCGTTGAGGGCAGTGGGGTTAGAACGTAGGGTCTTGGAGTTGTGTTTTGCGGCTTCCTACGTCAGAATAGCCCGTGACCGGACACTTCAACACATTTTCCGTCCGGCTGTCCAGGTGCAAGTCTACAGGAGGCTTTCAGGGCTCGCAGGGTACAACAAAAACTCTTCCGATCGCAGCTCTCAGGGCCAAGTTAGTACTTCAAAACGGTGACTGTGAGTACTGCAGGCAACTGTAACCCTAGGGAACCTTGAGCAGTGAACCCCAGTGCCCAAAATGCTTCTGAAAAGCTTCATGAAAGCCGTCAAAGCCTGCAGCAAGACTGGCCAACCAGGGCCGCATCCTCAAAACCCTCGCCTCTGGATATATAAGATATATAATATATATAATGTATATAATATACAATAATATATAATATATATTATTGGAAATGAGAGATTCCAGTTTACACAAGGTCTGCCATGAGCTTCAAGTCCCAACTCCCCCAGGGCCCCACGCACCCTGAAGGAATTCCATTGGTAAGCGATATATAGGGGCCTTAATAATTCGAAGAGGGTTTTGGGGGCCAATATCCTATATTTCTAATAAGGACCCCCCAACATAGTATTGGTAATTATTCAGGCCCCCCTATATTATTCTTGTTTCTATGTTAGCAGCCCGCTGAGTCGCCGACTTGGCATCAGCAGGCACCTGATCAAAGGGACGTCGGTCCAACAGAACAGGGTACCCCGTAAAACGAGTAAAGTGGAAACCTACATGTACTGACTTCTGCGCAGCAAGTAACTTCAAAATGAGCATGCCTACGATGTTTGATATTGTTACTATATGTACACTTGCATATATATATATACATACACACACATAGATTACGTCTCTGTCTTGCTACTGCTAGGACTGCTAGGAATTATTCTGTGATGACCATTGTGATTCCAAAAATCTGATTTTCAGGCGCCGCATCCGCCGCCCCCGGCGCCCCCTCCACTTCCAGACCAGCTGCAAAATGCAAAGCACTGCAGTGATTTAGGGGTCCGAGCCAGTCTGGATAAATTCTGGGATAATATTCCGAAGCAAAAAGCTTTTCCAATCACGAAAGCCCCTATTCAAATTCGACACCTTTACAGCTGGCGCTCCAACCAGAACCCAGTGCCTCAAAATAGCAGATGTGGACCCAAACATCTCCAGCCTCCTGAACCGGTTAGGGCGTGTTCAGAAATTGTCTGCAAAAACACCTTTTCGACCCTCAAAAGACATTGAAACTAATCTGTCGGGAATGCTGCCGTCGTCATCGTCGCGGTTATTGCTGCCACTACCACTGGTCGAATCTATACTGCCGCTAACGTTCGCGCCACGCCTGTCTAGAATAGTCCGTGATGTAGAGGCCATAACACTTGGAAGCAGGGCCGTCGGGTACATTGAAAAGTCTAACTACTGTAAGAAGATACCCACAGGAATGATATTGATGATGATTCCGGCTCCTCTGGTAAACCGCGAAGTCCCAAAACGCTAGAACCCTTGCGGAACCTTTCCAGAACCCATTTATGGAAGCATACTGAAACATTCAGGCTCCGATACACAAACTAAATAGACAAATGAGTGTGTATATATATATACACACACATACATACATACACACGCACACATACATATGTACATACACACATA